TTAATTTTTTTTATGATAAATAATTTAATTTTTATTTTTTTAATTGATTTAATTTTTTATTTTTCTAAATTTTTTTTTAATTTTTTAATTAACTTTTTTCATTTCAATTTTATTTTTTTTCTATTTATTTTTGTTGTTTGTAGAGGTTGTAAAATTTAAAACTAAATTAGATTAAATACGATTATAAAAAAAACCTGATTTATGCTAAACCGGATTAGCTTAAACTGAATTTAATTCAAATCATTAGATAAATATTTAATTGAAAAGAAAAACTTGAAATACTTTTTTGTTACATTAGATATATTGTTATTAATATGTAATTTCAAAATTTGATAGAAAAATAAAATAAAACTGAATGCTAATTTAAAAACTAGTTTGTAGAAGAGTTATAACTAAATTAGAACATTACAAGACGATTTACTATTTAAAACTGGTTTAACCTAAAGTTGAAGTTGAATTTCATAATTTGGTTCTGACCTCTAGTTGTTTGTTTATTAGCTATAATAGTAAGAACTATCTGATAAATATATCTATATAGAGTAGGAAACTGGTTATTGCTGCTGTTATCATAGGTCTATTGTCTATCAAAATTAAGTACCCAGTAACAGGAGGATTGGTTATGGGAACTTCTGTAAACAAAATATTATGGAATTGAGACCTAGTTAGTTACAATTTGAGAACAGGAAAAGAATAATTATTGTAGTATAGATTGTAGGTAGATTTAATAGTATAATTGTAAGATGGGACGTGGTTGTATATTGTATTAAGAAAAATATATTTAAGGATATCTTTTTTGCCTAATAAAGTTTTCTCAGACTTTGATGTCTTGAATATAAGAAAGATATTAGGAATCAAATTGAAAGTTTATTGAACGATTAATTTTCTTTTATTATTTTATTTCTTTTTATTTTGATAACTATTTTTTGCTTCGTTAACTATTCTATATATATCAAACAATACTTTTATTATATAACTTAAACCTCTATAACCTGATTAAATTAAATAGATTAGTAACCCATTTATTACATTAATATTACTAATGACATCATTAAGTTAATCACCCGATAACCCCGCTTTGATTAAAACCTATAACTCCATATAAACATTATTGATATAAAACAACCAAGGCTCTATAAAATTCGTCTATATTAACAATCTAAGTTAACTATTAGAGTTAAACCCAGTATAATTTGTGTAATGCTCTCCCAAAACAATAGTAACAGTAGATATCTTCTATACGAATCTGTATTATTTATTGACAATCACTTTATAGATACTACATTTCAACCAACAGTCTATTTCACCTAAGCTTATTTCACTGACAAGTTTTTTTATAAATTATACAAAATTTAATTCTAATTCTAACCTGACCCTAATGATATTGATCAGAATTACTTTGTCTGTAAAATGAGCCTTGGTAAAATAAACTGTAAACTTGTCGTTAAGTAATTGTCAGTGAAATATGGTGTTCATGAAGTGATTGTTGGTGATCCCTATTCCTATTCACAACTACTATTTCCTCAACACTCAACTACAATCACTTCTCCGACATAATCTATTTCCCTAACATAATCTATTTCACAGATATAATTACTTCTCAGATGATCCTATTCCAACAACTTCTTCTCTGATAACTATCCTTTCTCCAACACTTTGCTATGACCACTCTTTAGCATAATTCACTTCCTCAACAATCCCATTCATAATAACCCCTTCTTGATAACCACCACTTCCCAACAACTGCTCTTTTCACAAACACTCTACTACAACTGCTTCTTGATATCCTTCCCATAGCTATTCCCGATACACAAAATCCTGACACACAAAATTTCGAAAAC